ATTCAATAAAAATATCATATTCAATAAGAGAACTCAGTTTGTATCAAGATTTTGGAAAATGCTTTTCAAGATTTTAAAAATGAATATAAAACTATCTTCGACTTTTTGTCTTCAAATTGATGGACAAACAAAGTATGTAAATCTAGTTTTGAAGTAATATTTTAGGTGTACAATCAACTATTAATAAGATGATTAGATAATTCTTTTGCCATTGGTAAATTTTGTTTATAATAACAAAGTACATTCTTCTATGCAATAAACATATTTTTTTTGCTAATTATGATTATCATCCACAATTTGATATTTTTAACTTTTTAAAAGTTGATAATCCTATAATAAAAGATTTAGCAAATTATTTATCTAAGCAACATATAATAATAAAGATACAATTAAAAGAAGCTCAAGAACAAAAAAAAAAACAAAAACAAAAACAAAAACAAAAAACAAAAAACAACAACAACACAAATGCTTATCACAAGTAACAACCTTATTTCTATGTTGGTGATAAGATATGGTTACTTTGTCATAATATTAAAAACATTCATCTTTATTATAGAATTGGACTATTTTTTATTTATAAATAAGTCAATCCAATTGCTTATTGATTGTATCTACCAAAGTCTATAAAAATCCATCTTGTATTTCACATGTTTCTTTTAAAGACATATAAGACAATGAATAGCTTGAGAAGAAGATAAATACCACTGCCTCCTACAAAAAAAGATAATAATGAAGAATTTGAAGTAGAAGAAGTCTTAGATTCAGAATGATGTTGATATACGTTAAAATATCTTATTCATTAGATCAGATACAATATTAGCAAACGTATATAGAAGCTAGCAAAAAATCTTACAAATGTAGTAGAGAATGTCAATGTTTTTTCATTAATAACATCCATCAAAATGAAGATGAAGGATAACAAACCTTTGGTATAAAAGAAACATAATTTAGAAAAGATTTCATTCTATCTTTTATCTTTGTTTATAGTCTTTATATAAAGATGGCATTAAAAAGATGAAGAATCAACAACCAGTAGATTCAATTCAAGAGCCATCATTGGTTGACTTATCGGTGTCGTGTTGTAACACGAGTATATTGTGAAAATATAAAGAAAGAGGACTTTTATTAATATTCAGTTACCTCGAATATTGGGAGCAACGACCAATTCCAGTGCAAATACTGAGAGGCCAGGTTCAGTCACTTCGTTATAGTCAGCCGGGGCATACTGAAATGCTCCATTCGATTCCAATAACGGGAGTCAGTAGAAAGAGAAAGGACCAATTCAACAACGGGTGAGCCTAGTTCGAAGAGCCAATTGGATCCAATTTCAAGACATCCAATCCGGGTCCTCTTACCCAATATGAGACCTGACTTGGTCGGGCAATCCAATGCGGTTCAATTACAGGAACATCCAAGTCTTACTACGGGCCTCTTAGCCAATATGAGACTTGAATTAGTCGGGCGACTCAATGTGGTCCCGATTACGGGGCATTGATTCCGTTTCAGGCTGTTCCGTCCTTTGTGCCGTTCCGGGAACGTCTTTTCGGTAAAAAGATCTCTTAAAGGTAAAAATGGAGGAGAAAGCTCTGACGGTGGGAGCCAATTCTGGATCCAAGATGGAAGATTGAAGAAATTCAAAGGCTAGGGTTTGAAAGAGGGGAGAATTAGGATTAAAGGGGAGGATAGGTTAAGAAATGAAGGGGAGAGAATAAGGTTTTGGGGGGAGAAGGGTCGGAGAGCGAGCTTCATGCTTCGGAGCAGGGAAAAAAGATAGAGAATTGGGTTTTTTTTTCTTCATAGGGTTTCGGGAAGACTGAGGCAATCATTGCTGAAGTTAGTGTTGTACTGGTGAATCGGGATTTTAATGAAGTGGGTGTGATTACTCTTGATTGTTTTGTGAAATCGAGTTACGTCTATGATGAAGAATTAAAAGGGTGTCTATAGGATTGAATATGCGGAGTGAATGAAATTTATTGGGTTAATCTAACGAGACTGTCAGTGGATACAAGATCGTGAGTATAAAGCGGTATCGAAGATTAGCAGTTTGGGTTGTTCGGGGTTCTCTGTAACGTCTAGAGACCTACCTGCTGGGACAAAAAGGATTTTGGCGAGCAGTCGAAGGACATCCGTATAGATTTATAGTATATTCTTGCATTTGTTTATATTCCAACAGTCAAAAACTGATAAATTGCTTGAATATTAGCGAATCTTCATACTACCTTCTATAGCTAGACGCCCGACGCGTTCTCGAGCAGGAAAGTACGTAATACGACATCGGTTAAAATATTGGAATTATCTTAGCCTTCAAGATGACGTATTAGGAATGAAGACCTTCAAGAAAAACATGTTCTTCTTCAAATAGATGGCAAGATATTATATATTTGATATCACAACCTAGAAAGAGACTCTAGATGTTTGGTGATTTTATTGGAGGAAGGAACGACTCCTAATGGTGTTAAAAATATTTTGTTTGAAGGAAGTTACAAAGATTTCAACAATGATCAAATCACAGGGTGGTCTTCTCACTTAGAATGGGACATTACAGATGGCTGAGAGGACCTATTAATTACCTTTGAAAGAAAAAGAGATCAATAAATATAGCAAATATAATTTGCCGCATCTTAGACTTCCTCAACATGTAATCACTATTCATTGTGGAACTCATTTCTAGAAGGGAAGGTAATGTCACAGATATATATATATATATATATATATATATATAGAATAATATTGTAATTATTATTTAAGTAATATGAATAGGTAGAAGTAAATAAAAATAGATAAATTTCATAATATCTTTTAAAATAGCTTCCTAGAAGCTTCTTAGATACTATTTTGACTTAACATGTATTTGTAATTGATTAGTAGGTTAGAAACTTGGTCAACAAGCTAATCATGTGCAACATGTATTGGTAGGTTTTGTGGCATCCATATAAGAAAAAACTTGTCTTGCAAGTTAAGATATGTACCAATCAAAGTCAACACATTTTTGGAGGTTCTATAGAATATTGCCATATAGACCCTAGGTAGATAGTATATATAGAGGCAAAAGTGAAGCCTTCTTCACTCTTATCAATTTCTTTCTTATTTCTAGTTTAGTTTCAAGAGTCTTTAGTTTCCTTCTCTTTTGGCAATAGTCATTTCACTTTTCTTTTTAATATACATACTTCTCTATTTCTATTTTGTCATATTTCTTTGAAAGAGTGTCACTTATTTATTTGCTTTCATTGAGTTTTTATTCTTGATACATAAAACCTATGACAAAAAATGAATATTTTAACAAAATAAAATTTGAAGAAGTATAAAATAATAAAAAACTTATTTGAAAAGAAAATGGCATTAAATAAATACCACTTTAATATTTTAAATAATCTCCACTTTACAAATCAACAATAATATTAACTTATTTAGACATCTTTTACATAAAAATATCTAAAAAATTATTAAGTTTGGGCTTTGTATGCTCTTAGAATGAACTTTCAAACTTTTCATTTAAGAATTATAGATAATTTGTTTGTTGTATTTTGACTACTGTCATTCTAATTTCAATTTTATATTTATTTTTTAATTATTTAATTTTTCTCATTTAGTAATATAAGAATATATTATCATTTTTAGAATTTTGTTGTGATTTGTCTTCTTGCCAATAATCCTAATAAAAAAATTCAAGAAACAACACTATTTATACCTTATAAGAAAAACATGTATTATGTTTTTTTTTGTTTTTTGTTTTTTTTAATCTTAAAGCATTTGAATTAATTTTTTTGAATTTATAAAATTAATTGAGAGAAACCCTTAATTTCAACCAATCAAAAGACTTAAAAGTCATCATTTTGAATGAAATTTTGAATGAAATTCTTTTGGTACTTTGATATTTTTGTAAATGATCTTTAATAACATTTTAAGAGGTTATTAAAATGCAAATAGAAAGGATTTGATTGAAAATAAATAAAATTTCGTATGTAGAGTAAGTTGCAAATCTATAAATGCCAAAAAGAAAGAAAACATATCTAACAATCATGCTACAAAAAGATAGTATTTTTGTACATTTCCAAAATTGAGTTAATGCCACTTTCTAATCTTAATTAAGTTAAGTGAGATTTAAAATCAAAAGTCTTTGGATAAAAATTAAAGATAAAATGAGAAAACAAACATTATATTTAATACTATGTACATGAAATATACAAAATCCTTATTGGATTCTAAACATGTTTAAAACAAATCTAAATATTAGTTGTATAATATAAAAATTAATGCTAAAAATATGTCTCTAAAAATATGATATTTTTAATTAAAGTATTGGTGTAAAAATTTCTTGTAAATAGATTATTTAAACTAATTAAAAATAACTTTAGGCACATTTAAGAAATATCATGTTTTAAAATACAATTAAAACTACTATTTGTTTTATTTTATTGGATTGCTCTCTCATTTAAACCTTGAAATGCATCAACCTAAATATAAATATCTAGGGCTTACAAAATCTCATTAAAATTTTATTATCTTCTTTAAAAACCAACACTTTTATTTCCTAAATACACAAGCTTTGTGAATCCACTCAACCACATCTTATTGGACAACATGAGTCAAACTTATACAAACAGTAAAGATTTTATCTTCCTACATTTATCCCTTAATAATTTTAAAAACATCCCAAAACCTAGAGATTGTAGCCATTTTGTGCATTCATGTGGGAATATACACAAGCAAGAAATTACGAATACGTACGTATGAAGAATCGCGAGGATTTGACCCGGAAGTCGGTGTGGTTATCGCCATCGCCGGTCAGAGCAGAGCACGGGCACCAGCATGCATTCATTCTCGCGTGGTGGCGTTGAATAATGCGGCCTTGCATTCATTTCTGAGTGAAACTGTTGGATGCCACGATATTTCCCGTCTGCACGAATTCGCACGTCGGAACAGTGCGTCTCGAAAACGGACTTCAGCCTCGGAATACCGATTGATTGGAGCATTTATTCCCCTCTACCTTGGGCTGCTGTGGGATGTGCTGTATCGTACTTACCCTCTCTCTCTCTCTCGCTCTCTCGCTTTGGGTGCTTTTTCACGATCATCGTGCTGCAATTGTGTGGATTTTAGGGTATTATGATGGTTATTTGGTTCAGTTTGTCGTTGTTGAGGAGATGGGTAATGTTTAGGGCATTGTCAGTGGTCGCAATCAAGGGACTTTGCGTGGTGGAGAGTGGTGTTTGAATGTGATTCGGAGAGTGGGATTTTTTTTTAGTTTTGGGGTTTGAGACACCGTCTGCAATTGCCCAGTGTAGGGAGGTGAACTCGCCGTAGACAGCCGTGGATGACACCTTCGGAGGTTTGAAGAAGCAATTTGTGGGAAGTGGGGTCGGAAGCGGAGGGCTTTTTAGGATGCAGAAGCGATGGGGCGTGGCAACCTTTTTGGGATGTTTATGGGTAGCCAGCCTCTTGTATGGCGAGATCTTCTCCTACTGGGTTCCTGTCCTGAGTTGCCATTGGCCTTCCCTAGCATCCGTAAGACATTGCCTCTCCTGTTTTACTCGGAATTGCTTCCTCGGTCACCACAAATTTGCGTTCTTGGGATTCTTGTATATTTATATATCTTGTGATGATTTCAAGCCTCATGGATTGGTGTGAGGTTTAATAGTCTGGTTAGTGTCTAAGCAAAGCCCTAGCCATTTCCACACATAATGTGGATTACACAGCCGATATTTATGATAGTTAGTTGCTCTTGTATGAATGGAGAACAGAGTGCATCTGGAGCCGATGATGGATCCACCAACGTGATCCGAATTGCAGTGATTGCAGATCCCCAGGTAGTAAAACCTGCTGCGATTCATGATATTTACGTTCATTGTACGCAATGAATACACTTCTCCTAGTTCGTTCCTCATTCTTGTCTGTTTTTATCATGTGCTTTCTTTGCTTCCTGTAACGGAATGGGATCATGCAGCGCTCTAGATGAGGACGATGCATTTGAGGTTCAGTCTTTCTAAGTAGTTGCTTGTGTTTATGCAGCTTACAGATCGCACGTCATACAATCAAAAACCAGGATCCCTCGCTCTTCGTTTGACGCAATTTTATTCTGATATCTACATGCGCCGTGCCTTCCGCTCTACGATACTTGGCACAAAACCAGATCACATCTTATTCCTCGGTGATCTCCTCGATGGAGGACCAATATTAGCTTCAGAAGAGTGCGTTGTTCCTTTTTTATTTTTATTTTTAGTCTGCCTCATGAAGCTTACAACTCAATGTTTCATCATTTTTATATCAGATTGCTCTGCTCCGACATAAATACTCGAAAGATAGTGGCTGGAATATCAGTATTTAGGGCCATTTTCATCGTTTTGATTGAAAATGCGTTAGTTATGTTCTGGAATATTGTGGGTTACGAGGTTGGACGTTGAAATTGTTTCGGTGCAACCTGTTTCTTAAGTTTCCGGGTGGACAAAATTGCTCCCTGAAACGTAACTTTTGATCGCTCAAACGTTCATATTTGAACACTTCATGTTGCTGAGCCAGATTAGTGATTGCAGATGGCAGGAATCGCTTAAACGATTCCAACACATTTTTGACCAGTCGGAAGGGGGAATCGAAACAGGAAGGCAGCGACCAGCGATTCCTGTTTACACTCTTCCGGGTAATCATGATTTAGGTTATGAAGCTATGGAGACCGCGAATTCAGAGGTACTTTGGTGCACCGATTCTCAGTTGATGCAGTCTGCCTACGATACGTGCAGGACATTTGTATAGCTTACAATGTTCTGGAATTTGTTTTTTTAGACACGATACACATCGGATGCAGGCGGTGGAGCGCTATCGGAGAGTCTTTGGCCCATTGGAGCATAACGTTACAATTGGAAGTGTAGAGTTTGTGTTGGTGGATGCCCAAGCTCTTGATGGTGATTATCATGTTCTTTGCTCGGACCATTTACTCGGGTTGAATGCATCGCATCTGGATTGTCTGGATCTGATAGCCCGTCATTCATTTTACGATTGGGTGCCCTGCTTTTGTCCAGTGTGTCTCTTATGATATCCTTGGTCTTCTAGTCAATATCCTGGGCTTCCTGGCTTTCGGGAATTTAGTAGTTCCTATTTGATGTGTATCCGATTGTACACGTTACACCTCGTACCGTCCTTTGTTGTCTTCAAAATTTCATGTCAAGTAAAATTTTCTTGCTCAAAGACGACCCCAAGGAATCACTATCATAAAATTATCGTTGTAGGTTCGGGAGATGTTGCTGCCAGGTCATGGAATTTTGTGAAGCAGAAGGCTAAAGGTAATAGATCGTATGAATGAGAAAAATCTATTTACTAATGAGGAAGTTCTTGATTGTTTACCTCAACATTGTGTGATATGGACAAAAATTCACTTCAGGAGATTGTCACTCCAGCTTGATTCCTTTAAAATATACTCCATGTGATTTAGTATATAGTTAACTTTCGGTTTTCGTAATTGTGCAGAAATGAAAAATCATGTGAGGATCTTGGTTACACACATCCCGCTCTTCCGGCCTGATGATACACCTTGCGGCAGCAATCGTGCATCTCGAGTCATCAATCAGGTGAGATATATGGGAGATAATTGCAAAGCTTTTACGGCAAAGCTTTGCAATTGATAGTACTGTTATTTAAATTGGCCAACAGACTATGATGTCAATTTCTTGTACATGGTTTTATCGTGTTAACAATGTCATCTATTAAATGTTCACAATCGCTTCAAGTGCGGTGATAGGTATCCCTCAACATGCACTGAACGAAGTAGTGTAACTTACGTTGATAAGCAATTGTTGAATATTCTTTGGATGCAGAGGATGAATAGGCAGGGTTATGCGCCGTTCCAGATTACGTAAGTTTTCTTTTACATCGACTACCCATCAATTTTGAGTAAAGCTTGTGTTTAGCAAGTGGTTCAGAGATTTCGGATGACTACATATTTTAACCCAGAATTGAAATCATCTACTTGTAGACCATTTTCTTGGAGTACTTTTACTCCTGCATCAGATTCTGTGGAATGTCATTCTAGTTCAGTATGGTGTGACTATTTCAACTTTCACAAGTTGTCAGATTACCATATTTCTGCCATGCACCTCAACTTGCAGGTGTATTTGGTGCCTGTCCTGGTCTGCAGGTATCAAGACTATTTGACAGAAAAATCATCCTCAAAACTCTTGGATTCTCTGAAACCTGTAAGTTACCTCTCGAGCTACTATACCCAATTGTACGTCAACAATTGCATGTTTTTATTTCCAAAGGATCTTTTAGGCAGGTAAAGTTCCTGGCAGTATCAAGTCGTCAGAAGTTCTTTGTGGCAGGCCACTTACATTAAAAACTTGGTTAAAGTGGGTTTTACGAATGCGAACTGGGAGACGTTGATATGAAATGTGCAACTATGACCATCCTTTGACCGACAACTTCTAGGGTTAATCTGAGTTCCGTGCAAAATATTGTAGTCGGATTTAATGAGCACTAACCTACCTCAAATACTGTCCAAACAATATTTTTGGTTGGTTTGACTGCTCCAAGCTTTTAGGTTGCTGGCTCTCTTGAATCTTACAATATGATAAATTGTTGTCAAACGACATCCTTGTTTTATGTACCTGTGACAGTCGATCTTCGACAGACTCTGCTGTTTGGATTGAATCTTAATTTTACTTAAATGGATTCTGCCAGGTCATGGTGCTGTCGGGTCACGACCATGATCAGTGCTTCGTTCTTCATAAGTCTAATCAGGGCTTTATTCCCGAGGTACCATGTAAATCTATCCTATCTTGTATTACTCACTGCACACATTCGTCATGTACCACACACCTCTGGTCATCACAATGTTTGCAATCTTGTTCCGGTCATCACTAAAGGCAGCAGTTACAATTGAGTGTAGTGGAACTAATTTGTATTTCCAATGCATTCTTATCAAGATTTGGGACTTATTGTTTGGTTAGCATACTGTGGGAACGTTCAGCTGGCAGCAAGGGAACCATTTTCCATCTTTCATGTTGCTTTCAGTTAGCTCAAATGCCTCTGGAGATGCAAGGCTGGAAAATGCGGTAGCTTCAAGACTCTGTTTCCTGCCAGTGCAGCTTTTCATTTACATTTGGTAAAAGCACTTAACATTCTTTGTTGCTTTTGCAACGCGAAATTTTGATTCCAAATGGTGCTTTTGATTCCTATGCCGATGGGAGGTGCATTAACGCCAAATCTTCGAATCAAAAACCTTAAAAGTGTGGATTAAGAGAATCGAGGTTGTTTAACTTTTTTATCTGGGTCACTTAACTAGCGAATTATATACATTGAAAAACAAGTCGGGCTTGATCTGTGACATGCACCACATTGATTGGAAGTCCTAACTCCTCTTCTTAATCACGTGTGCACATCAGGTATGGGATACTGTTGGTTGTCACATTGTATGCACTTCTGTTGTGGCCATCAAAAGGTCTGATAGCAATCACCTGGTTCATTGAGGAAGCCAAATCAGTGGCAACCAGTCTCTCCAAAACGCAGAGGTTTAAGGCCAAAGATGAAGACGCGGAGTGGGAGATGGTTTGGGATGCAGAGGGAGGCATGCATCTGCTCAATAAGGGACCGAAAGGTTTACCAATGTTGGTGGAATCTACAACCACTTCTGGGAAGAGGTAATAATCCTCATGTGCTGTATATGCTACGTGATGCAAAACACATTGCTTGAGTTTGTGAATTTCCTTGGGATTCAATCAAGTTGTATCCATTAGTTACAACCGCTAACAAGTAGGTGTGGACCGTGCAATTCGAATCAATTCACCTGGAATGGATGGGAATGTGTACAACATATTCTGTTTGGCTACAAATTAGGGCCTAATGTTTGACTACTTCGAGCGTAATGTCTCATTAATTTTGGACACCTTGATGTCTGTTACGATGCAGAGGGAATGTTGCAAGGCGTGCAGGTCATGACATAGACACGGACACAGTTGTGAAAATACCCAGCCCCATGGGTTTAACTATAAGCCCCTCTATGCGTAAGGGAAGAGCGAGGACAAGCTCGTTTACAGCCAAAGTACTCCAGACCCTGGGCCCAGTTGTTGTATTAGCAACTCTTAATTTCAGCTTGTACTTTATGCTACTCATGAAAGACTGGGGTCCTTTGTAACCTATTTTAGTGTTGATAAATTCTTTTTTTACTTGGAAATTTATCTCAAAGATAAATGCTTCGCTTTTGGCGTTAGTCACACTTGTGAACAACTGTTAAAACACTTATAATAGGGGGGGGGGCGTAGGAATGTAATAGAAGGATATATTAAAATTCAGCTTATTGGTGGTTAGGCTAAGTTACATTCAGCTCATATCTCTGCATAGCTGTTCTTGGAGGATACGACATCCATATCAAGGAAGAAGCTGTATCGCTTATAGATGACGAGGTCCCTTTTCAATTCTTATTGGTTGGAGTATATTTCCAAGAATGCATTCTTGCTCTGATTTACCTACCTTGACATCCACATTTAAGGTGTTCTCCATGTGGCAATTCTCTCAGTAATGCATTGTCTAGAGAAAGAGAATAAAAATTCTGCAGGAATCCTAAACAATATTTTTCTTTTGGGTGGGAGAAAGGGTGGGAGATATATTGTAGGCTATTTGTGACGGCTCACACATGAGTTACCTTTGGATCCTCAATTATAGAAGACATTTACATGTGGAAGAGGGTGGCAATCAAGGCCCAAACCATTCGAAGGGTATTGCACCATGGATGTTTCACAAGGAAACTTTTCTCAACCTGATTTTCCATTTCAACACTCTCAATTGAATAACGGTTTATCTTTAACATTAAGACAACTAGTCACCAAAAAACTGATGTATTCATGTATCCACTACCAATCTGTTTCAAATCTAATTCTGCATTAAATTACTGTTTGAAGAAAAACCTTCGTCGGCTTTCGCCCAGTTATAAACAAAATAAAACCTTCCATTCATTCATTTGTTTTTAAAAAGGATGGTGTGGAATATCATGGCAATGCAATTTGACTAATTTTCAAACAAGACTTAGGACTTGTTGGAACTAATCAAAAGAAAAACAACCTAAACTTTTGACCAGGCCTTCGGGAAAATGGTTGTACACTTCACATAAACATTATTCTTTTAATATTTGATTCAGAGTTAAGGACCTGAACTAGAATGTGGACTAAACATTTCTTTATCTGCTATTGTTGAAATTCACAAATACTACATGTAACCACCATTTTCCCTGCAAAGTTTTAGTTAATCTTCCCGATTCCATAAATCACTCCAATTACACTCCGATTGCCTTACCACCGTTCTCTTAACCGAATCAGATCTCGTTCGAGCAATCAATCAATCAAATTCACAATTCATACGTGCAACGAATTCGACATGAAGATCGGAATGCTGGGATGATCACACTCAAGATAAACTAAAAAAAAGACTTCACCAACAGCTGCTAGCTTCAGAACCATGTTCTCTTCAATTCGGGCTATTTTCCTATTTAAAAGAACCAAACGTAACGCAAGTGCAGCACGAACTAGATAGCGAAATAACTATTGTCGGCTACAGCGTCTATCAAGAACATGGTTGAAATAAAACTGTCTACTTCATTGTACGAAGGGAGAAGTAGATAATCGAGAACCCTGAAGCAGCCAATACACAATATTGCAAAAACAGGACCACGAAAAAAGCATGAACTTATTAACATTGAGCCTCACGAGTGTAGAATTATTTACAAAATAAATCACCCAGAGTACAGTACAAACTCATCACCTACTCCTGTAATGTCGTAAGTTAACAGATTAAAAAGTACTCCTACGGTGACAGTCGAGCATCGTCATGACCTCTTGTGTTCAAATCAGAGAAAGAACTCAAGCGGGCAAAAAAGCCGGACAGGAAGCTCTCCGAAGATCGACCCTCGTGCCACTTTTTGAACACATCTTCGCCCACAATGACCAGTAACGTAGAGAGGATGAAAATAAGTAGCAAAAGAAGAGATCCTTGCCATGAGCCACTTCTGCGAGGTTCAATCGGGGTGACGCGTGCACTAGAATCTGCTGAGACAGATAAAATTGCTCGGCCGCTGGGAGAAAATTCCATGGAAGTGACGAAGATCATGTGTGCACGTTTCAGCTTCTGACATACTGATAGAGTAGATGTGTCAACAATCGAGATGTCTCCCTCACTGCTCCCAATGGCGAGAAACCTGAGGAATTGGCAGTAAGGAAGATTAGAGAAGCGATGTAACACAAAAGAGTTGGAATCGGTCTTTGCTTTCGTTCGCATGGGCACATCTCAAACTTATTGCAGCTTGGAAGTGAAATGATTTGAATATTTAACAAAATGTTAATTAAGACATAGTGCTCACCTTCCGTCTCGAGTTATCGAGAAAGCAGAAATAGGGTCTTCTTGCAGCTTCCTTGAAGCGACTTGCTTCCAAGAGGAGGTGTCAAATGCAGATACAAACCCGTTTCCTCGTTTTCGTACAGTCACATACAGTAAGGGCTTGTTGCAATCTCGAGAGAATCTCACGAATCCCATGCCTTCCCCTACCACGGACGGAAGTGAAGACACGCAAGTGCCCGATGCAACGTCCCATATTCGACAAGCACTGTCATCTGAAGTCGAGGCCACAAATGCACCGTCCAAGCTGAAGTCAAGATCCTTAATTGACTTGTGAGCTTCGGGCTTGTCAAACAGCACCTGAGAATAAACGAAACGAGGTAGAGGTAGCCGTCAATTCCAAACCCAGAAAAATGCTGTAAATTCCAATGGATAAACCAAACAAAAGCATGCATCCCGAGAACACCAAACCCTAATTTCCCAACAAACGAATTCGCACAAATGAATAACAAATCAACACCATCTGCAGATAATTTCGAGATCCTACCTTGAAAGAACCCCACTCAATCACAAGCAAGTGGCCGTCATCTCCCCCAGCCGCCAGACGAATCCCATCGGGGCTGAACACCAAACAATTCTGCTCCCCTACTCCCTGCAACACCTGAATCTCTCGCTCCGCTACCCTCACATTCAAGTCACCGCTGGACTCTCGAAGTACTTCAAATAGCCGACAGTCCTTCTCAAAACTGCACACCACTCCCTCCCCAGCAGGGTGTGCAGCCAGACGCAACGGCGTGTCATCGCCCGTTGAGTACGTATCCAGCGCATCCGTCAACAGAGTGGACTTGAAGTCATACTCCGCAAGCAATAAGCTATTGGGCACCCCGTTGCGTTGGTTACCACCCCCTCCCGCTAAAACCACAACTCCTTCCTGCGCTTCCTTCGGAAACACCTCCCCTTCCTCATCCCCCTCTCCATTCCTTTCCTCCTCCTCCTTCTTTTTCTTCGTCGTCAAGGGAGCCAACCATGCTCCCGCAAACAAAGGCCTGCCGTATTTCTTCGAGCATAATAAGTAACGCCCCTCCTTGTTCATGATAGATTCCAACATCCACAATCACACACGATGCGAAAATAACCCAACTCCACAAAACCCAACTCCAACTTTCACCAGCAGCCCAAAACCTTCGAAGATATGAGTTCGCGAATGGCCACAGTCTATCGACTTCTTGCTTCAAATCCAACAGCTCATCCTTCAAACCTCCCAAAAAGTATCCAAACTACTTTAAAAATTTATGACGCCGACCTCGAATTTGTTTTTATTTTTATTTTGTCCTCATTTTCTTTTCACCCGTTTTGAGGGAAATGAGCCAGTCGAAAGTGCCATGGCTCTACCCTTCGTTCCGTTCCAGTCCTACTCCAGCACAGCATCTTCCCCGAGGTGCATGAAAAGGGCTGCTCGGTTGCTGGACCTCTTCAAACCGCGTGAAACGACGCGAATTCTGTTGCTGTGAACGGGGGAAAGAGTTTGAGGGGGTGGGGAAGGGGAGCTTAGGATTCCGCAAGCGTGATCCAACTGCGGTGCGGCCCATATCCTGAACTCACCATTCATTGCCATAGCCGTGCAAGTTTTTGCAACACAATACCGGTGAGGACACACCTGCCCTTCCGACACTTTCTCCGTCACGGTTGTCGATCATCACTAGGCCGTCGTCGAAGCAATTTTCCTCTGCGTTTCTTCGGCCATGTTTTAACAAAACCGTGTGCGAAAGAAAAGCTTTCGCGTCGGACGCTCGACGGTGGAGGAGCCACAACAGCGATGCCCTTGCCATCGAACTGATTCTGTGAATTAGGATTTCGAAAAATTAGGGCTTCGAAATCATACGAACAGGAGCCCTAATTCTTACTGTGAGAGGTTGCATAGAAAAAAAAAAAGAAAAAAGAAGAGGTGGGGTTGATTTCACAATGTGTATGGATTTGTTAACCAATAGCAATTCCAATTCTCTTGATACATTGAGTGTGCATTTGTTGTAATTGAAGTTTTGATGGAAATTTTGTGATTTTTTCTTTTCTTGTCTTTATAGAAAGTTCAAATAAAATTGCACACCTAAAATTGAAACATAAATAATTTGTGTAAGCCAATAGTTGATTGTATGGTTTTAATGGTTGAATTTAAATACAAACCAACTTCAATGATTTTAAAATCAAACTTTTTAAATTTAAGTTACAGAATTGTTGATGTTATTTATTAGAGTTTTTAAAAATGTAAAATATCTAAAAAATGTGTTTTGATTAGATATTAAATGAAGAAGTATAAAATATTTTTGTATAAATCTCACATATTAAAGGTAATAGTGATTGTCTATATTTAAGACAATTTTTATATATAAATATTTTTTAAGAATTTACTTGTGAAGTTTTGTTTATTGTACTTCTAAACAACAAAGCACTTTTTAAAAGATTCTATAGACTTAGATCAACAATTGCATTATCTAGCTCATAAAATCAAAAACAAACAAGTACTAATACAATATTAAAATCCTCATAAGAAAATCTGCACTTCAAATTGAGTCTTCAACCTTTTGTGTTATAATTTTATACTAATGCTTGAATATAAATAGAAATGTTAAGATCAATTTGTAATATAATATTTGAAGCAATAATAACTAAAATAGAAAATATTATATTAACCTTGATAATTATTAAATCAACTCACTTATCAAAACATCATTACACCATCTTGTCTCTCATCTCCATTTCCAACCTCCCTCTTTCACCTCAAACCTCTCTTCTTGCATGTCTTTGTCTTTGTCTCCCTATGCAAGTAACATCAGACATCATTCATTCATGTCCATTGTTTGCTCAAATCTACTTTGTTCTAAGTTGGATTTTATGCTCTTCCTTATTGTAGCAACTCACAATCCTATGTAATTGTTTCCATTTAGCAAGCGGATTCTTCATGCTTCTTATTTCACTCATTGTAGTCCTTAGTTGAGATTCTCATTCTTTTAGTTTTGAATTTGGACATTTGTTCTTTTTCTTCTATGTTTGAATTTAAAGTTGATGAAGTTGAGTTGTTGGCAACAACAATACAATTTTTGGCCTTAGTTTGGATGCAATAAAGGTAATCTGTCCTTGAAAAAAAATCGTGAAGAAGCGACAAGCAATGTTCATGCTTATACAAAAGAGAAAAATAAAGGTGACAGTGTTGTTGTTCTATGGACGTGGAATGGTTATGTAGTGGATTTTTGAGGGTTCTTCTCTTTCTTTTCTTTGTTCTTATTGAAGTTTTTATTAATAATTAATTTGAAAGGATTGGACATTGGTTTTTTCAACGAATTAGATATATATATATATATATATATGTATGTGACATTGAGTAAATTTAGATGCCCATTCATCTTTTTAGATCAAGAAAAAGATTGAAGAAAAAAATTGACGTTTATATTGTTTTGGATTCTATACTTGGAGATGTTTTCTTGAATGTTAATAATTCATACACATATATATTGTAGAAATTTTCTTGTATTCAAGAAAGAAGGATTTAGTGAGATAAATTTGCAACTTGGCACAATTGTATATGTGGATTATGATAGGACAATGCTTCATTTTGAATGCTTCAAATGTTCAATTGGCTTGAAGAGTGATTATAAAATTGCTAGGGAGCTGGGGGGGGGGGGGAGGGATGTGTTTATTGGAGTAAATATAGACATAGAGTCATTACATGTACAAAATAATGTAGATTATTCATATTATAAATCATGACATATAATCAATTAATTAAATTGCTATAAATTAATGGTTGGTGTAATTTCAAAACTTAGATGTTTCTTGAGAAGTAGCTACTTAAATTTTGAGTATGGATTTATCTTCTACAATCAATTTAGAGATTGAACTCTTTATTGGCCAATTTTTCAAACAAAAGGTATGTATTTAGTTTTATTATTTTATTTATTTATTTATTTATTTTGTCTAAGATTTGCTACATAATAAATTGTCACGACCATAATCATGTAAGCTAATAATTACATATAGAAATAGGTAGAAGTAAGTAAAACTAGATAAAAGTAAGTTAATTCTATAATATTTAATATAGAAGCTTCCTAGAAACTTCCTAGACGCTGCTTTGACTTCATAGGTGTCTTTAATTGACTTTTTGGATTAGAAACGTGGTCAAGAAGTTGGCCATGTGCCACACATGTTGTTAGCTTGAAGATCAAGCTAACTATGTGGCCCACACGTAGAAAAACTTGCCTTGTAAGTTAAGGCATGTGTCCTACAAAGTCAATACATATTGGAGGTCCTATAGAACGTCGCCACGTAGCCCCTAGTTAGATAGTATATATAGAGACAAGAGTGAAGGCTTCTTCACTCTTGTCAACTCCTTTCTTGCTTCTAATCCAGGTTCAAGAGTCTTTAGTTTCTTGTCTTGTGGCAATAGCCATTCCAGTTTCCTTTTAATATACCTACTTGTTTATATTTTGACTTATTATATCGAGATAGCCTTTTTGTGTATATTTTCCCTCATCGAGTCTTTGTCCTTAACAGATTGACAAGAGTACACTTACAATATCAGAGCTTTGTTTTTCTTGAATGAGAGTGGATTACCCCTTTCTCTTGACAAGACATAAGCGTATTAGAAGTTTGCGGATTACCCACTTCTAAACTGATATTGTTCTTAGTATCTTCTTTGTTATCAAGTCTTTCTTTGCTTTTGTCTTGAGCAGTATCAAACAAATTTTTCTTAGTGTCATTATGGCAGAGCTTGTTGAAATGAAGAGTGCAATGGCACAAATGCAAGAGCAAATGAGGGAGTTAATGCTTGCGATGCATCAATTCAATTCACCAACACATGAAAGAACAAGAATAGCAGAAAGTGGGGATATAGAGATGATCAAAGCTGCTTCAACATCTACAAAAAATCACGTTCCTTCTCCAATTGTACAACACCCTGTAAGCACTAGAGAACCAAGAATTGCCTTACCTGAGAAATTTGATGGTACGAGATCAAAGTTTCGAGGGTTCATCAATCAAGTATAATTGGCAATTGAACTTCAACCGCAAAGCTATCCAACTCCAGGATCATAAGTCAGGTTTATTGGCACTCTACTTTTTGGTTCTGCATTATCATGGTTTTCGTCTTTTCTTGAACAACGAAATCCAATATTGGACAATTTGGAAGCTTTTTGTCACGGACATACATATAATTACCTATATGAATAGATAAAAGTATGTAAAAGTAGATAAAAGTAGGTTAATTGTGTAATATCTTCTAGAGAAGCTTCTTAGAAGCTTCATAGACGCTGCTTTGACTTTATAGGAGTCTATAGTTGACTTTTAGGCTAGAAACTTGGTCAACAAGTTAGCCATGTGCCACACATGTTGGAAGCTTAAAGAACAAGCTAACTACGTGGTCCATCCATAGAAAACTTGCCTTGCAAGCAAAGGCATGTGGCCTAGAAAGTCAACATATATTGGAGGTCTTATAGAACATCGCCATGTGGCTTCTAGTTAGATAGTATATATAGAGGCAAGAGTGAAGCCCTCTTCACTCTTGTCAACTCCTTTCTTGCTTCTAGTCTACATTCAAGAGTCTTTAGTTTCTTGTCTTGTGGCAATAGCCATTCCAGTTTCCTTTTAATATACCTACTTGTTTATATTTTGACTTATTATATCGAGATAGCCTTTTTGTGTATACTTTCTCTCATCGAGTCTTTGTCCTTGACAGATTGACAAGAGTACACTTACAATATCAGAGCTTTGTTTTTTCTTGAGTAAGAGTGGATTACCCCTTTCTCTTGACAAGACATAAGCGTATTAGAAGTTTGCGGATTACCCACTTCTAAACTGATATTGTTCTTAGTATCTTCTTTGTTATCAAGTCTTTCTTTTCTTTTGTCTTGAGCAATATCAAACAAATTTTTCTTCTTAGTGTCATTATGGCAGAGCTTGTTGAAATGAAGAGTGCAATGGTACAAATGCAAGAGCAAATGAGGGAGTTAATGCTTGCGATGCATCAATTCAATTCACCAACACATGAAAGAACAAGAATAGCAGAAAGTGGAGATATAGAGATGATCGGAGCTGCTTCAACATCTACAACAAATCACGTTCCTTCTCCAATTGTACAACACCCTGTAAGCACTAGAGAACCAAGAATTACCTTACCTGAGAAATTTGATGGTACGAGATCAAAGTTTCGAGGGTTCATCAATCAAGTACAATTGGCAATTGAACTTCAACCGCAAAGCTATCCAACTCCAAGATCACAAGTCAGGTTTATTGGCACTCTACTTTCTGGTTCTGCATTATCGTGGTTTTCGTCTTTTCTTGAACAACGAAATCCAATATTGGACAATTTGGAAGCTTTTTTGGTGGAGTTTCGATCTATGTATGGTGAACACGATGCAACTCGTGTTGCAACAAATAAGATCCGAATTCTGCGACAAGGAAATCGCTCAGTAACAGTATATGCTTCACAATTTCGACAACTTGCAATTGACATCAAGTGGGATGATGCTGCACTCATCAGTCAATTTCTTTATGGATTGCAATACGAAGTAAAGAAATTGATGCTCAACTTACCTGATCCTCAAACTTTGAGTCAAGCAATCGATTTTGCAGTAAAATGTGATAATCGACTTTTTGAATTTCGATCTGAGAATCATTCACGGGAACCTCAACGTTATTACTCAATGGCAACATCAACATCTTTGCCAAACGTACATTCGGAAGTAGAAGACATGCAAATTGACGCGGTACGTTTTAAACCTCTAACTGAGCAAGAAAAGATTCATCGTCGTCAAGAAGGATTATGTTTATA